ATTCATACACTGGAGATTTTGTGAACTCAAGAAATCGATTCTAAAAATTCAACCCTAAACGAACCATTCCTTTTATTTCCCAACCACATTTTATCCAACTTTTGATTTTTTCATTAACTGAGTGAAGGGATAATTAAGTCTCTGAATACTGTGATCCATAATCATTTTTTAAAAAGCAAATCCTGTTATTTGCTTTCAGATTTTCCTTTATAGTTGCAATCTATGGGCAAATTTAAGTTTCTTCTTTTAGGTTCTCTAGCCTTACTGGCAAATAATTAGAAGAAAGGAAAGGGAGGAGAAAATATAAATCATAATGCAATGGTAATATGATAATGTCCCTAAATAATAGAATTCATTATTGGCCCCCCAACCCATTTGGTTAGACACCAGCTGAAAATGGAAACAGATTCCCTTCATTTCTTCTCTGTTAATGACCAAATAAAGAGACTGCTTGCCCCCTCAGTGTAAGGGCTCTGAGTTGCATGTGTTTGTGGAATAAAAAAGCAGATAACCAACCCAGGTCTTGCTTTCCTTTTCATTCACTCTGTTCTTTATAAATAACAATCCTTGTAGTAATTAGATATCAGATAAATTGACTATTTTGGACGTTCATAGGGCTTAATGTAGAAATGCATAGTATAGGTATTTGTGGTGTTCTGTGTCTTTGTTGAAGCCTATACTATAACTTAGTAAAATAAATTAGGAAAATTTTGTAATACTTCGGGCATTTAGTCATATACGCTATCTTTCATGTTGACTTCATGGGAAAAAGCCATTTTTCATTTTAGTCCAAGACAATGAAGAATCTTTTTCATTCAGTCACAAGGTGGCAGCAAATATCAAATTTTATGCTGTATCTAAGAGAATCTATTTTTTTTCCTTTAAATTTGTAACCTACTTGAAATTATTGCATTGACAAAGTATATGGGATGTAATTTTCTAGGCATTCTAGAATATTAGACTATTTAGATTGAAACATGAGTAAATATTGAATCCATTTTATAAGAAAGAAAATAAAATTTTTAAATTGATAACTTCAAGTTGTCTTATAACTACTGTAGGACAGACTGTATTATCAAAAAGATTGTTAACACTGAAGAGATAAGTTATTGCATCCATGAGAAATCAAGAATCTAAAAATATACAAATGAATTTTCAGTATTAAAAACTTCTAGTGATAAGATATTAAAATATCACATTTCACAATTTTTATCACATGGGGTTAAACTGATATACAAAGATGCTTTCTTTGATCTAATATGATATTAATGTTTATTTTTTATTTGAATTTATTCCTTTATTTTGGTGGCCGAGTTTTTGGTACTTCTTAAATTTAGTGTTTGATCTCTTTCCGCACAGTGATTTCTATATTTTAGAGAATTTTACCTATTTTATTGTAGAACAAGTAAGAATTTCTGTTTGAGATTCTACTATGTGTTACTATGTGTGTTCTTAGGCTGAAAAGAAATTATATTATTTAGATAAGATTAGGTCCCTGAAGTCCTCGACGAGTTTCACATATGCCATTTATTCATATGCGTTAAGGTGCTCAAGATGCTGTAAAATCACTGGTGAGTAAACAGATACAGTCTCTGCTCTCAAGAACTCTCTTAGTGGAGAAGGACATTAATCAGATAACCACACAAATGAGTACATAATTATAAGAGATAAGGAAAGGAGCTTGGTTCTATAACAGCATATATCAGTGGATCCTGATGTAGATCAGCATGTCAGAGAACGCTTCCTTGAAGTGGTCACATACTCTGCAAGGTTGGTGGGAGTGGGCTGGTACCAAAACAGATTTGAGTTTTGAAAAGGTATCTCTAGCATTAATGCAGAGACATCAAATTCAGGGAAGTGAATTGTGAGTCTATTGTATTAATAGTTTTATCCAGGAGAAATAATGACTACAGTAGTGGCAGTAAAGAGAAATCGACAGTAATTAAAGATATTTAAAATTTAGGCAGTAAATTGAAAAGATGTGCTGATTAATTAAATCTGAAGGGTTTGGGGATGGAGAGGCATGAAAGATGATGCTTTGTTTGCTGAGTTGCACAAGAGTGGCAACATTCACCAAGACACATAGGAAGGAAACCATATTTTAGACATGTTGAGTTTGAGGATATTTCTATTCAAAGGGAAGCAGAGAAGGCAGTAAGACTACATGGGTCTGGAACTCCAAGGAGGAGTCTGGGCCAAAGACATAAATTTAGGATTCATTAGGTGGTTGATGGTTATTGAGGTCGTCTAGGAAGAGAGTGTAGAGCAAGAAGAGAAGGAGGCTTAAACTGAGCCTTGAGGAACTACCATCTCTTCTGGCTGAAGAGCCTGCAATAAGGGACCAAAAAGGAGAAGTTAGAGAGATGGGGGAGAAAGCCAGTAGGGGAAGGTATTGCAAAGATCAAGGGAAGAGAGTGTTTAAGCAGGAGTTTTTCATGCTGAGAAGTTAAAATAAGAATGGGATAGAAAAATACTAAAAATGCTAATAAGCAAATGAGGTTTCTACATTAATAATTACAAAATA